GGTGACTGATCCCTCTCGTGCCATCGTTTGTCATAGGTTCACACTTGCTATAGCGACCGCTGAACGTTTCGATAATGTGCATCAGATGCATAGTGTAGCTCTCGCTAACCAGAGCAACTTAAGGAAAGCCGACCTCTCCTAGGGAACCTATCAAGCAGAAGAAGAGAGTCAATCTCGTCGAATCTGAAAACAACTTGCCTACAGTTTTGTCCGGATATTTCACGACATCGTATTTTGGAACTTTTGCAGGGCCACCGCATTTGGCATAGGAACACAGCGTTCCTGAAAGACATGAGAGACGTTTGGGATGGTAGAGAATTTCTGTAGAACGCACCGTCCCAGAAGCCTCGTTAATATTGCGCTTCACCAATTACCACAGTTGTCTCCACGCGGGATTTTCATCAAAATAACTTTGCAAAGGTGCGAAAAACCACATCAAAGATAACTCTGAGACCTTACTTATCTTCATTCGTTGTAGTGAAATAATCACCAGGATGCAAAACATTATACAGCATTTCAAAAATTCAAATTCAGATCAATAAAGATCAAAATCGCATGTGTGTGTGACAGACTTATGGGTTCCAAAGTGGACGATTGTGAGAGTAAACATGAATCAAAACATGATGTGGAATTGAAAACATATACAAGAAGACATAATAGTTAATAACAATCATATGCAGATCAATCATCATACTTGCGCCACAGGCACATCATCATTCCACCAGATATCTCCACGTTCGGCTTTCGGTTCACCATCACCGTCGCCGGCTGCAGCTATTGGTGCAGGCGGTTCACTGGGCGGTTGTGAGGACGCTGCTGTGGCGGAGAGATTCGCAGTATCAGCTTCTGCTGATGGCAGCACACCACTGCCAGCCATATCAGGCAGAACTCCGTCGTTGTCTGCCCTAGTGCCGCCCACTTCCGGTAAAGCCCCATCGTACGGATGTTGTGCATACTGATTATGGGCGAACAACGGCGGCCCCAAACAATGCATATCTGGCTCAGCGTACACGGTGTGCTTTCGGAACATTTGATATCTGAAAGAAAAGGCCCTCAGATCCAACAAAACTACTATGAAAACTATTTTTGGTGCACATTCTACAATTATCTAGGTATGGGTTATTGAGCCCAGGAGTAGATATGCTAATTTGTTGACCAACAATGAAGAGAGCATACTAAATTGCTAGAGAGGAGTGAAGCCTTACGTCGCTACAGGTGCACCCTTTCCCGAAAGCCTTCGGGGGCCAGATGCAATCCTCCCCCAAGGGGTTGGGAGACGGAAATCTCTTCGAATTTATTTGTCTTTAACGATATAGTTTCTTCATTTTCAGTGCATATTTACTTTGACATACATACATACATTAAATATAGGCCTTTTATCAGGAATCAGGACAATCCCGGTTAGAGAAGACAGAAAATTCGAAGGAATCCCGTTCTCTATCCATTGCGGAGGATGACTGGCCCCAGGTTTCGATTCCTTAGGCGGCCAGCCTCCTCCCATACACCGAATGGCACATGCCTTTTCAATATCCAATTAAAGTTCCCCACAAAAATCGCACATTTCACTTTATATTCGAATCAAAAGCTGTACGGAAAGCAGCAACTACACAGCAAAGGAGAACGGATGCACCTATTTATAATACAAGTCCGGCGATTTAGTCTAGTTCAAAATAGAGGTGTCACAGAGGCAACTTCTGGCTAATTTACTTCTACTACTTTAAACTCCAAGAAGCATATTACCAGTTCGTATCTGCCAACATATGCATAAGGTAAGGTCGATCTTACATTTTTTTGCACCTTACCAGTAGAAGATCACGCTCATAGTCTGATGGTTTTCTGAGTTGACTCACGCTAGTTTTTCTTCCAATATCTGCATGAACCTTTTACATTACCAAGTTAGGGTGAAAGGCGATCATTTCTTATGATACAGCACAACCGTACCCCACAATCGACCCTCCGAAAAAAGACAAACTAGCAAAACTTCGCCACATCCGGAACTCTTGTCGGATCGCGTGCCTAATTAGCTTCCACTTTTGCAGTATTCATGAAATGTCCTGAGTGGAAATGCTCTAGAAAATAGCCCAGATGAAAAAAGGCCTACCGCGACTCCATTCCGCCCTTGCTTCCAACAACTAACTTAGCAAGAACACATATTCTTAGTTCTAAACTGCTTTAATTTAGAACTGCGAGGTCAATTTTGTGCTGAGATATGCCGCTTCAAAAATGCTCCAGACCGCGTTTAAATACAATAAAACTAAAACTCCAAATGTTCAACCGAAGTCACAACTCTATAGCAATGCAATTCAAAAACTTGCATTTTACAAGAAACAACTTGGACTAGAAAGGTCAGCGCATGATCAACCAGAAAGTATGATGAGTTTTGCTATAATTCTTAAATTAAAATACGTAATTAATTGTTTGACCTTATATTCGTCTTCCACTAAAAAGCGCAATGTGATAGGGAGATATATTCTGTAATAGCTGAGATAAAACCCTTCAAACTTAGATGCAATCCTGTAACAACACAGGCAGGGCCTTCACTTCTCAACAGAACTCTTTGCAAATATCTATCGAAAAATCTGATAGTTTGTGAACCTTCAATAGAGTGATGTAAAGCAATGGATTGGGTCAGAGCAAAACGATAAAAAGGATCATTCAGGTGAAAAGCTTACCTATCTGTTTTCTTCCAGAAGTAGTAATACTCAACAAGCTCTCCTACTCGTCTATATGGTAACTGAAATAAGATGGCTGAATCATGAATGTGGAACATGCATGCAATTTCAAAAACCAGCGAGAAAAAAAATTAGGTTCATTCAAAGTCAAATTCTACGACAGCCCTAAGCTTCAGAACCGAGGAGATTCATATTACTTATTCTGATAAAGACAAAAAACCGGTTTTCTTCAAAGAGTATTACGAACAAACTAAATAGAGCAAGTACACTCACCAGCCTTTTTTGTATTACAGAGAAGTTCTTGCCGTACATCGCAATACCTCTCTCAAACAAATCACGCTCTGACAAATCCCACTCCAACGCGCCTTGGCGTACCGTGCGGAATGGCTGATTTACTCGAGAAAACGGAAACGCTGCCTGAATATCATAACTTTGCTTCAAATCCTGGCCATCGCTATAGTTACACACCAAGTTATAGTCATAGTTATAGTTTACACATCAAGTTGAACAGTGTACAGAAGGAAGAGAATGTAAAATTCTAAAAAAATACTTACTTTAGCTTTATCAGTATCGTAACGGTGCCTATACAATGCACAGAGCGCGTCTTCATCGTCTCTTGTCTAAAAACGCACTCATTAACAAACGGACTCTGATAAAGCGAAATGAGGACGTTGATCGTGAAGTTTTGCTTCTAGTTGACAAAAAAAGAAACTGAATTTCTACAAATCTGCAAAAAAATTTCAAGTAGTAATAGAAGACCACTAACCAAA